CTTTGCTGACACCTCTCTAAGAACACCTTGATTAGTTATAGCACACAGTTAACAGTGTTAAAAGCCAGCATGCCTTTGTTGGCCCAGATTTTCCCTTGTGGAGAATCAACCATTTTAGGTGGTGGAGAGTTTAAGTAGCATAAGAAAATAAACAGATGAGCGAAATAGCTTTGAGTGTGTAGTTCATGGGCTAAAGCAAAAAATATTGTATAATTTTAAAATTTAAGACAAAGCAATATTTGTTATTTAATGTTTTATATAAAACACTAACTGCTAGATTGTAGACTCCCACTTACACTCACTTTCCAGTGTCACCTTGATCTCTGCAGTAGCAGTTAGGTTGGATCTTGGACACAGATAATCTTCTATTTATGTCCCTGTTCCTTTCCTAACGATGGCCCTTGAGCTCTTTAACCCTAGAGGATGTAAAAACTATATTTTAGATATTGATTTTAAATATACACAGGAAGATAAACTTTGAGCTTAGATTTGTAAATGTTTTCAGATTACCTTGAGTTTGTCTCCCATGGGCCTTGAAAAATATTTGGGGTCTTGAGTTAGCACTCACATCAGGACTAAACTGTTGGTTGTCTTTCAAGTAAACCATGCTGACTCCTTTAGGGAGGTCAGTGCCCCATCTGCTTGTCCTCTGACCCCCACCATACACACAGGGCCACCACGAATCCATTTATTCACCCTCAGACACACTGTCTTGTCTTCTCTGCCCTTGATTACTGAGCCAACGTCTAGGCTGTTCCCTTCTGGTTACCCCACACTGTTCTCTCTGTCCTCTCTCTAATTAGGGCATAGATACAATCATGTCACTCTTCTTCATTTAAACTCTGTGGCTCCCCCACAGCCCCTAGAATAGCTTAGAGGTCCTGGCATGCACAGCCATTCACAGTCTGTTCCTGCCTTCCTTCAGGCACTGTCTCCCTCTGGCCTTTGCTTCCTATCTTCCTGTCCTCCCATCCCATTACCATGGGTTGAAGAGCTATTCATTCCTTTGGCCCTCAGTCTTTAATTGGCTCAACATGTGCTAGGCCCTGTTCCCTACCCCAACTCTACTGTATTAATTACCCTGATCAACTACTTTTAATCCTTAAATCCAGGTCAGATGTCACCCCACCTTCACACTTCCTCGATCTTCACCTTCTAACCAGAACGGATTAAGCAATATTTCCTATTAGTCTCATATTAGAATTTAGCCACACCTCAGTTGTAGTGTAATCACAGGGTATCATGATTTGTTGTGTATGTTGGAAAATAATTTTTCCCACTCATATATTTTGTTTTCTTTTTGAAATAAATCGAGATATAAATAGAATATGAAATTTAGGAAAGGAAATCCTTAAGTTAAGGGGGAAGGGTCTAGGTCTAATAGTACTGCCCTTCAACAAATATCTTTTGACTCAACCAAAGAATCTATTAATTGACAGAGAATAGATACTTTTAAGTGGAGTTAAGTATCCTAACTCCAAACTCAATGCATCAGGGTACTTTGAAGGAAGGATTTACCTCACAAAGGCAGTTGGAGTAGGGGGAGGAAATGTTTGGCTGGGAGGATTGAAGTAGTAACTCTAAAGAGGGACTGGGTGTAAAAAATGTTAAAGAACCAGTACTCTCTAATCACATTGCTTTAAATATAATCAAAGGGGAAAGAAAGTAATTGGAGACCTAGAGAAACTGCAACCTATTATAAAACACCATAATGCCTGTTAACTCTTGGAAGAGCTGATATCTGCCTTGGGGCCCTTCCCTGTGGGTGCTACAGACTCAGCTAATGGTAACTAGAACTTGCAAATGTGCCATGACCCCACAGGGTGTATGGCCAAACCTGAGGTACAATAGAAATGTTTAAAATTAACAAGAAAGAAAAATACTTAAGCTTTTGGTGGTAACAAATCTGGTAGCAAGCATTAAGAATTATTACGATTATTCCTCTGGCTCTCATTTCTTTATCTGGACAAGATAGAGGATCCCATAGGCTTTTGTCGACTCTAAAATTGTATGATTTTGTGATTTTTGAAAAAAATTTTAAAGCCATTTTAATTAGAAATTATATTCTAGATACAGGCGTTGTGATTCTATCTCTACACAGACCAACCCATGGCAAACACAACCAAACAGCTGTTCTAAGACTCTGTGTCCCCAATGAAGAGCAAAACTGTCACCCTACTTAACATTTTATATGCCAACTGTCTCTGAAACAGAGTGAGATGTTATTTGATGAATATTAGCGCCCTCGGTCTCCCTTTTCTATTAAGAAACTTAATGACATCCAATCATTAAATAGACTATTCCTAGATTGTTGGCAATTAGTTACAAATCCTTCCAAATGTCTGAGACCAAGAACAACTCTGACTCTTAAAACTAGAAAGCAGGTCTGTTTTACAAATGAAAAAAATAGGCACAGAACAGAAAAAGACCTCAAGGTCACTGTATACAAACCACAGAAGAACTAAGGAATAGCACCAAGGTTTGCTTTATATTTTGTACTTTATCTCTTTCTTCCAGACCCAATAGAACTGGCTGGCATTTGAGAAACAAATGCCCTTGGCATTTTTCTGTTTTTCTACCGTAGGCTCCTCTAGTAGGACATTGCAGTTCAGTCTGGTTTTAGATTAGAAACGGGTATGATATAGATGTGAGGGCCTGAGAAGAATGTCCAGAAATCATTCATTCAACTCATGTTTATTGAACTTGTCTGCTACTGCCTGGCATGACCCAGGTGCTGAGAATAAGATAGTGAATCTCTAAAGTTCCCATGTTCTAGCAGAAGAGAAAGACAACAAACATGGACAAATAGACATGTAATTCAAGCAAGCTAAGTGCTATGAAGACGAATAGCGCCAACAAAGGGAGGGATGATATTTGGGATTGGGGGCAGGGGTTAGAGAAGGCTTCTCTGAGGAGGTGACAGTAGACCAGAGACCAGAATAGGGTGAGGGAACCAAGTCCTGAGAATTTCTGAGCTTCCTTTCTCAGCCTTCCCTCAAGTGTGAACTGCAAGCAATGAATATTCCACCTGGCTGAAACAAAAAGGTGCTGATTGGAGTCCTTGCTCCCTATCCTTGCATAAGTTCACCCTTGACAATAACAATGCCTTTCAGACCAGACTAAAGGCTGTTAGATTCAGATTAAACATTAGTTGGAAGCTTTTAACTGTCTCCCAACTCCTTCATCACTAAAATCACTTAACAATAGACAATAAAACTGACAGTACCTGTTGATAATGTAACAAACAGTATTTATAAGTAACTGCGTTAGAGGAAGCACACTTTACAATGGCTGACATTTAATACTGATTAAGTGTTACTATGCTTTGTAGTTGGGAGGGTTCTGTGGCCTTGGCTAACTTGTAGCTCTCCTTTCAAAGCAGTTTCAAAAAGGATCCACCTGGCTTAAAGCATTGGCATGCTGAACCTCCCTTTATCATAATGATGTGATAGTTTAGGGTTTGACTTAAATTAATAACTGATTGCACATCTGTCCTATTGATACTGTCAATTGATGACTTCCCTGAGGAAGCCCTAACAGAATGAAATAGGAAAAGGAAGTCTAACCTAGGTATTCATGGTTAATTTCACAACTCCACAGAGGAAAGTGGTTACCTTTGAAGTCCTCCCCCAACCCTCCCACAAATCCCCACACAATGGGGGAAGTCTAGAGAAACTCTGTCTTAGAATTGGTCTTCAAAACTGGAATATATTGGCCAACAGAGTTACAAATCCTGTTGTCTCAATCTGTGTTTCCAAACCACCCCATCAACAGAGCCACTTTTTTTTTTTTTTTTGTCTCTGCCACTTTAAAAAAGTAACTAAAAAAAGCAACTTCTCAGCTGCCTTGCTTTGCAACCGAGATAACAGAAATTGGCCACAGAGGTATTTACTTGACTGCTCTATTTATGGCAACTTGTTTGTGTATTTTTAAATCAGTTACAATGGGCTATTGTTCAGTCGTATACTGCAGAAACATATATGTTGCAAACCACTCCCAAGGAATCCTGATGGTAGAAGGATTTTTCTTTTACCTAAAAAAATAAAGTAGGATACCAAAGAAATTGAAGGTATTGGTGACCATTTTAAATTGCTTTTATTAGCTAGCAAAACAACTATTGCCTCTTTTTCTCTCCATTTGCTTGTCATTTTATAACCTTGTGATAAGCTATTGTAGAAATTAAACTTTGTGGTTCAGAGAAGATTCAGACCTCTGCTGAATCTGCTGAATCTTATTACTAATCTGTCATTTCTGGGCTTGCTTTGGGGTTCTGGGGGTTTTTTATTGGTGGTGGTTGTTTGTTTGTTTTGCTTTTCTCGGTCCTTTCTGTGGACATCTAATGCCAAAGTTCACTTTCTCTTAAAATCGTTCGGAAGCAAGATTAGCCTTAGGTAAGGGGCACGTTCTTGTGTTTGAATAATGATATTCACTTAATCTACTTATAAAAATTCTTGTTCATGTACTTGATTAATTAAGTGCATCCCGTGACCTGGCTCCTTTTCTTTTGCTGTTATTTACTGATAAAAATAAATCTCCTGCGCTAAGCAGTAGGAATCACTCCGAAATGCAAGAAAAGTCCTGCGGAAAGAATTCATATGTTAATGAGCCCTTCCAAGTGAGAACTTGGTTAAACGTGCCATTTGCTGACATCATTGTTATGGGCAGAGTGGAGATGATTTCTTCAAGAGGTGGCTTTGCATATTCTCTCAGCGTTTTGTGGTCCGCGCGTGCACCTGCGGGAGGGGGAAGTTTACATAAGCGACCTGGGGTATTTGCTTCTTAGCTGTTCCCCTCACTAAGGGTCTCGCGGCTGTGGAGTCAGCGGACGGAGGTTGGTGCCCGAGCCGCGAGGCTGGCCAAGTGGGTGGGGAACTTTTCGAGGAACGTGCTCGCGGGACCTCGTGGAGACCTGCCAGGGGCACGGTCAGCAGTGACAGTTCCTGGAAAGAGGGCGGCGAGATCACGCTGGGCAGGCGCCTCCTGCGGACGGGAGCAGGGAGCAGAGCCGGGCCGGCATCGCGAGCCGGCGGGCCGACCCGCTGCGCTCTGCGGAGGGTGGGACCGGCAGGAAGCGAAATGGTTACTTTTTTAAATGCGGGCTCTGGTTACTTTTGAAGATCGCCGGCCCCTGGCGGGCTCCCGGTGCAGAGCGGAGACGGGGGGTATTCTCTCCGCGGTGGAGGATCCTGGGGAGCCGCAGAGCTCGGGCGTGGGGGATGCAGTGGCCTGGACGAGGCAACTCAAACCCGAGGGAGCAGAGTCAGCGACGCCGGCTGGGACAGAGGGTCTCCGGGGAGCAGTAGGACCTTTTCCCGGACCCCCACGGTTGGTCGCGGCTGCAGGGGTGAGGATCGCTGCGTTGTACCGAAAGTGGGCTGGAGGAGGACGGGCAGGGGGAGAGCGGGTCACGGCGGGGCGGG